ATTTATAAATGTGTCGTAACCTTCCACCACCCGACACGGCCAATCAGCAAAAAAAGTGTCACGTTGACAAAAGACAAATAATTCACTACTTTTGCCCACCGGTGTGTTGAAGAGTGAATCCACAACATTTACAGTTTGAGTACGACGTTTCGCTGGTAATTACATCCAGCATCATCGGGCGAATTGCCCGATGATGCTGGATGTTGTGGATTCACTCTTCAACACACCGTTGGGCTAAAGTAGTGAATTATTTGTCTTTTGTCAACGTGACACTTTTTTTGCTGATTGGCCGTGTCGGGTGGTGGAAGGGTTACGACACATTTATAAATAACGCGATCTAACCCAAAAACCTTTATTATGAATCTTTTGCAACTCCTAGAATTATACTTAAATCAGCCACGCATTAAATGTAGTTTTATTATTTTATACATGCAATTATTTAAATTTGCTTTATTATTTACAGTCGGTTTTTGATTAAATTGTACCCTACCTTGGCAGCGATAAGTGCACTACCCCATACTTCAGATTAAGCTATCCCTGAAAGATGACTTGTCCAAATACTTTCACTTCGATAGGCTTATTGATGCACAGTAAAAGCACAGCTTGCATGTCCTCAAAAAAGGTTTGTTGTCACGTGAATCAAACCAGTAATTGTACATCTCAGAGTATGGATTGAATTAAGGGAACGTCTCATTTGTTGTGATGATGTTCATTTGTGCATTTATTGATGACCAGAGAGTCGCCACATTTGAGAACCCAGAATAATCGCTGATTGCACCAATCAGTCAATCCCGCTCATTGGCATTCCCCAATATGGAACGTTTTCAACGTCTGTAATTATCTTCCCAGCATACCGTTTCTTGAATAACTCGCCTTAATCTCGACTGCTACTACGTTAAAAAAGCCTATAATCACGTCTAACTCGTATTTTGATCACCACTTTGAACATCGACAAATCATTCCATGACTGTGACAGCATAACTACCGTAGTTTTCTGAATCCGCAAGCAAACTTCGATAACTGACGTGGCTTCCAATGGTGTATGCCATGTTGCAAAATCACTCCTACATTTGTGTCCTTATTCTGATTCATGCATAACCTTCCCTCGCACGTGGTGGATATTCGCTGCAGTCCGCATCTTTCGTTAGCGTATTTTGCTGCTTGCTGCAGATATTCACGGTTCGAATCTGGCAGGCGCCCCTGGGAAACACCGTGGTGTATTAACCAAAACAACGCACCCCATCTGATTCACGGTGGACGTTAAAGATCGTGTGACGTCATGAGGAAAGAGGAGATCATGGTCCAAAATTTGCCAAATAATTCGAAAAGTTACTCGATTGTGATTACAAAAAAAAAGTCATCGACCCCTTTCTGGCAGGCTAATGCCACCTGCAGGCGGCTGTCGAGTCGCCTCGTTGCTGCACAGGGAAAGCTGCCACTGATCGTGCCGTTGATATCTCTAAGGAGAGATGCGATGTTGAGTTGCATCGAGTTGCCGATGTATGTAAGTGCAAAGGTTATTATTTGTGTTGTTGCTAGACTCATGGGCAGTATGAAGTGAAGTGTGTTTTGAATGCGTTCGCTGCAATGTTGCCTCAAGCCGTGACATTCATTTTATATTTTGTAGATTTTTTAAAACTGATTGGACGACACCCGAGACAGCCTTTTTTATGGCCTTGTCTCGCCACTGTGGGACCAAGGAACACCAGAAGGAGAACAGTACATTGCGTATGTTAACAGAGCATGTGTGTTTGCATGTTTTGCCACAAGCACGTGTGGTTAATGCACACTCGATGCCTTGAAAAAGGTACCTATGTGGTGTTTGGACATCTTAACACCCGTTTTATTGCTGGAAAGGCAGAAAAAAAATGCGCCCATAGATACGAAGAACCAATTTCCCTTTCAAGTGGTACCTATTGTATCAAACCCGGACACATGATGCTGAGCTTAGTCAGCACCCAATCAGACTTCATTGAACTCATTTCGAGCCGCTCCCTCCATCGCGAAACCACCTGGCTGCCTTCATCAGCAGTTCATACCCTGATATGAATAACATCCGTTTTTTTTTACACAAAGGTCAAGTAGACCTTGAGTACTGCGTGGGATGTGCACTCAGCGCTTGGCCGGCAAAGGCTGTGGGGCGTGATGATTGCGTCTTGTGTGCCTCTAAAAGGTTCTTCGTCTTTTGGGCTCTGGTAATAATATATTTATGTTTGGCATCATTTTTTCGGTTATATTTTCAAAAGATAATTACAGACATTTATTTTTTTTCGTAAATTTCTCAGATTGTTTAAAGCATGCGTAGAAGCTCATTATTTAATAATTTGAAGAAATACACAAACCTTGACTCGCATTTACCAAAAATGCTAAACATTACAAGTAATTATGCTATAAACTATTGAGGGATAATGCAGCGAATGAGTCGGTTAAATTATGTTTTGCAACACCAACTTTATTACGATATTCGAACGTGGTTGTCATTTTATAGAATGCAGACTATCATAAGCATTGAAAAATGTTTTACTCAAGTCACGAGCATTAACACAATGCAGCATTTACATTCTTATATAACTCTGCATCACGTAATATAGTGAATACGTGGAAACATTGTCACGCCTTTGAAATTCATGTTAAGACTTTCATGCATAAGCACAGGTACAACAGAGGAAAATGCATGTGCCATTAATAATAGAGGAGGATAATGTATTTTATAAATCATTCATATTATGTTGTTCCATGTCTTACACTACTTTATCGGATTACTCCAAGATAATTACACAATTTAGACACTGCATACATACTATCTTTGATAATACATTCATGTTTAATGCCAATTGATTACATTCATATTACGATTCCAGGTAATGGAGTATAGTGATTACGGAGACATGCAATGCCGTGTATTTACAATTAATTGCAATAACTTCACGCAGCGACATACAGGTAGCGCACACATAGGGCGCTTTTATGAATTAAAGGTGTTCATTTGTTTCGAATAACGTTTCTTAATTAGCAGCCTGCCTGGTCGTACGTTGCCCATGAAGATATTCCGACGAAATGTATCCATTGTGTATTCATAACGGCGATTGTTCGTCATCACTTTTGGCCCTGGCTTCGTCTATTTTGAGAGAAGCATGCATCCCCGACACTCCCCCCCCCTACCCCCACATTGCAGTGTTTACATATTGTCATCAGCACACTCCTAATGAGAAGACATTGTCCGTATAGGTCGCTATGCTGTCCTGGGACCCGTGTTGAACACTGACGCGGAGTTTCAGTGGAGAAAAAAAATGATGCTCATTAAAAATAATTTGAGAGAATAATATTACGACGTGGACTTGAAATCAAATCAAATGTTTTTTTTGCACCCAGGCGTCGTGCATTTTCATTTGCGCGTATTCAGCTGACGCGCTGTGCGACCGCGGGTGTAGTTGAGTGGGTTTCAAAACAAGTCGGGTATGTGAAGGCCAGATTTGAAGCTTTAATGACTGCAAGGATCCATACTCTTCGGTTCTATTCGGTAAAGTCACGTAGGTAAAAAAAAGTAAAACAACAAAAATCACGACGTTTCAGCCACAACACAAGCGGCCTTCATCAGGTGAAGGGACCAGACTGTCTCGAGGACAGCGCTGGAGTGAAACACAGCCACGCTCAGACCGCGACCTTTAAGCTGTGTGAGAGTAATTAACGTGCCTTGACAAAGGAATTACCATAAAAATTTGGATTTAATAGGCGGACTTAGCATGATGAAAGGTAGGGAGGGGGTCGACCTGTGCAGGCTGGCGAGGGGGTAAGGTAGCGTCCACATGCTGCTGGTGGTGTGAAAAGGGGATTTCAAGAAGCTGCGAAAGTTTGGGGTACCACTACTTGAAAAATATACTATACCATTGAAAATTAGTTTAATGTTTGGTTCGATTTAGAACATCTTTCCAATGGTTGCTTAATTTGAAACCATCTTCTCGGTTGAAATTGTGTCTGTGTTTGTAGATCTGAATTGCCTCGTGAACAAATCTCTGATAAAAACCCGTGGGTTTGCAAAAAACCTTGGTATCGGAGCCGTAGCTGATCACTGTTACAGGCCTGTAGAATACGACGGTTACACCACGCACAAAAACGAAACTGTTTATCCATAATATAGGTGATTTTCTTGTTATATCGCGTAAATATAAATGTGTCGTTAAACCCGCCACCACCCGACACAGCCGATAAGTAAGGTTTGTCACGTAAAGAGAACATGCCAATTCGTTACTGGTACAGCACACCGGTATTTTGGAGCGCACAATGACAACATTTACAATCTGAGCACGACGTTTCGCTAGTAATTACAACAAGCGTTATGCAATCTAACCCAAAAAAAACGAGAAATTATGGATTATATTGGTCACGAAAGCGCACGTGTTAAACTGACGAAACTGTTTGTTGGCGGTTCAGTGATGAGGGCGGATATGTGACCTGCTATAATGCAAAACAATCGTTTAATTAAATCCGAGATGATTTACAAGCATGCATGTGACATTTTATAGCACACTATACACTGCAACATTATTATGTAAGCACATTGCGTACAGATGTGAACCATTCATTTTCATAAATTATTTTTACTAATGCAAAACGGAAAAAAAAAACCAGTTAATCACGAATTCATGAAATAACCTTGCCCGTAAAAATAGCTATCACAATTATTTCAATGTAATGTTTGGTCATTAACATCGGCCACAATCGGAGGAAGTGGGAATATTGCTGGATGCATAGCAGCCACTAAAATGCAAAACCATTCTCTGGCAGTTTAGCAATGAGCAATTCCTGAACTCAAGTTCATCCTCTTTAGGGCAATGTGTTTGACAAATGTCAGTTTATATTCTTAGCTCTTTCGGTAAAAGTCACGTTGAAGGGGAACAATAAAATAATAGAATATATTATTTATATATTATTATATAAATATATTGTTATATATTTTATTATTTTATTGTTTCCCTTCAACGTGACTTTACCGAAAGAGCTAAGAATATGAATTACTGCAGTCACGAAAGCTTTAAATCCAAATTTCAGTTTCTTTGTTTGTTATTTTGTACTTGCACGTCATTGCAGGTCCCTCTTTTTACAAAAAGGGATGCCGTTCTTAAAAAAACAAACAAACTTAAAACACGCGGAAAACACAATTGCGTAAATTTAATGATTTTCCCACTTTCATTTAATTTTCGGGATGCGTTTCGGACAGTCACTCCAACTCTACTCCTAACCTAAAAAATACACACCTATATCGCATGTCACAACACAAAAAAAACTACAATAGAGAACACAAAAACAAAACAAATGTAAATTCAAGTTAAAGCTGAAACAAAAAGAATTAACCTTATCGAGGAACTCATAAAAAAATATCCGCATGTTGGAATGACTGGAAAGTTGACGTGCTGTAGGGATACTGAGACTCTGTAGCGGATGCATGACGCAGCCTCACGGCTTGTTCTCGATTGATCTGGTGACGCGTGCAGTGTGAAATTTCGTTCACGCGGAAAATCGATTTCGTGAATCGAAAAGTGTCCGTAATTTGCACAATTGCGTGAGCGCCAAATTTCGTGAACCGAACGTTCGTAAATCGAGGGACACCGGTTGTCGCAACTTGCCGTTTCTTATTCCGCTATCGTCAAAAGAACAACGGGAAAAATTAGTCAATTGTTAACCTCCCCAATGCGTCTATTGGTACAGAACACCCTTACAAGTGTCTCTCTTAACTCGCGAGCGCGTAAGCCATACACAATGGGACTCAGACCTTGAGCGACGCCAAACACAACGGTTTGAAACAGCATGAGGTTCTGCACCACGTGACTGGTCATAATCAAGAACGCGTTTTCGATATAGTACAGAAACATCGGCATCACGAAAAAACAAATCTGCACCAAGTGGTACATGACGGTTTTGCGAGCGCGCTTGTTCGCCATCCCTAAGTTCCCGCTGCGCTTTCCTTCGAAATAGATGCAGCAGTAGCAAACGAAATTGATGAGGATAGCGATCACGATGGGCCCTAAAATGAGAGCCGTTGCCAGATCTCCCATTGCCCCAGGGGGGTCCATTACATCCAACGAGCAAATGACCGGCGAATTGAGATCCGAGGAATTTTTCAGCACTAGATTGTTCATCAATCGAATTCCAGGCCATACGGTGGATAAACCAACCACGGCGACGATGATTTTCCAATACTTCTCGGTCGAGCAGATTTCATTGTACCTCAGCGACCAGCAAATGGCCACGTATCTGTCCACCGACATCGCCATCACGCTGAAGAGTTCGTTGTTCAGGGTGGAGAAGAGAATCATGAAGTAGATGGCGCACATTGCCCGGGACAGTTGATACTGGCACAGGTGCAGTATGTAGAAAACGACCTGGACGGAATTGAAAATCACCTGGCTGATGATGAGGCTCATGAGCAGAAAAAAGCGAAGCTTTTGTCTCAGAGAGCGGCTCTTGAGCATGAGGTAAAAGACTAAGCTTGCAAATACCACCGACAGAAGCCACATGGTTGAGTGCATGGCTACCTTCTTAATGTTAAAAGATTGGCTGATGCTAGTTTCAGATGCATATGTGAAAGACGTGTTGTTGAAAGAAGCGTTGTATACAAATGCACCTTCTTCCATTGTAGATCGTCTGTGGATGGTGGCTTTCACATATTTATTTTCCACTCTTGTGCCTGGAACATAAATAGGTTCTTAATAGGCATACATTTTGCAACACTTGAACAAGCGACACAATCTGCAGTTTCGTAAATGTCACGAGGTATTATGATTACTAAGCTGGTGATTACATTATAGTTAATCATTTGCAATTCTTTGTCAATGTACTGCCAGGTTAAAAACCTTCCGACACCGTGTCGGCCGTAGCAGTTGGTTGACCATACTTCACCATGCTGGTCAATGTGAAATGGGAAAAGAGGTACAGTCTGTTCTCCGAAAACGCGTGTTTTCAAAGCCTGGAATTCTATATAACGCGATGAATGTACGAGGGAACACATTTTGACAAAACGGATGCAAATTGTATACAACGCGGTTGAGTGAACAGAACTTCGTCGTGCGAGTTGGAATAAGCGGATGTATGGCTGCTTCTGCGTAGCATCACACATGGTGGAATGCTTCTGGATGCTACCCACGTGCATCAAGTCTTTGTTCAGCCTGCATACGCATCACACGTGTGATCGCGGTTTGTGATTTACCAATTTTTAAGTTATTATAACGCGATGTTTCCATAACGCGGTGTTCTTCAGGAAAGCAACTACCATATTCATATTCTTAGCTCTTTCGGTAAAGTCACGTTGAAGGGAAACTATAAAATAATGAAATATATTTTATTATTTTATTGCTTCCCTTCAACGTGAAATATATATTTTATTATTTTATTGCTTCCCTTCAACGTGACTTTACCGAAAGAGCTAAGAATATGAACTACTGCAGTTACGAAAGCTTTAAATCAAAACCACCATATTGTTTTCTATCTACGTGGTTTTACCGAAAGACCCAGACAATAACTACCATAATATATGAGAACACATATAACTTACAACTGTAATTGAACTCAGGCTGATGGATAAACTTGCGGTGTGGTAACCACCGTGCCAAACATGCCCCTAGTTTGTATAACAATTGCTATTTTTTTTTAAATGTTACGTATGAATTGCTCTTACCTGATATGAATATAATCAACACTTGATGTAATCGAGTAACAAGTTGTAACGTCCGCTACTGTTGTATTATACGTGTAATTAAGTAAAGGGCTGGCCAAGTAAATTGTGAGGTGCTTCGTTAATCAAAAACAATCCCTAAAGATGTCGCAAGAGCCAATGTTCACGATTGTGTAGACCGGGTCAGTTTTATGCATTCTCTAATGATCTCCCATGATACTTGGCAGCCTGAGCAATTAGCAATTTGTCACCAAGTTCCCATGGGATCGAGCGTCCCCTGCATCGTTTTGCAATGTAACAAGCTAAACGTGTGGCAGTGTTTTTTTTTATTTATTGCAAATGGAACAACCTGGAATCGTGAGCCTAATTAGAGCGTAAAATGAGTTGGGCTCTTGATACAGACATACGTATATTGGTGTACACTCGTGGCATTAAAAATCATGACAATTATAGAGCAATGATACAATGTGACACTTCAAATGAAGAATGCATGCATTTGTATGTAATTTCAGCATGGACACATTTAATGTAATTACAACATGGAAGCATCAACTATGTTTATTATATCCCTGCGTATGATGAAAATGTGCTCAGGACCTAAATGCCAATTTGTCGAGGTCTGCTCGCCACGAGGGGGCTTCAGGAGAGAGTTCGTTTAGTTTTGCTGTTCCTCCGTTGAAGGAGCGCAAGGCCACAGTGATTTGCAATGTGGGCCATAGTTTTGTCACTTGCACTGGAGGCTTGTCTTTCAGTCTTCTATTTATGACGAAGAGCTTGCCGAGAATGAATGGCAGGCCTGTTGAAAGCGGTGACAATGCGGTGAAGATGTCGCGACTTTCCACAAGAGGGCAGTGTTGCAGTTGTTTCAAAGCTCTGTTTTGTTGACCAAAATACATGCGAAGGCAATGAAGCAAAGCCAGCAGAGGAGATGGCAGAGATATGACATAAAAAAACAAACATTTAAAGCCACTATAGGGACCAGAGGCAACTAAGGAAATTAAAACGTCTTTGTCCAAGCAGTGAGAAGTTAACAAACTTTTTTTTTTTAACCAGGTAAGGCCCACTGAGTTTTCTGGCTCTTTCCTCAGTAGCGACCTGGCCACAAATGATAGCTCAACGAAGTGGAGTGTCACGTGGACATTTATAGCAGCAGTCAAATACTCTAAACGCGTGTTTCTAAATGTAGAGGGAAACACCTGAGCAACAGGGATAAAAAAATCCATGCGACCACGGGGGGAGAGAGAGCGAGAGAGACACAAAACTCCAAATATACAGGGGTCACGGTCGGGATCGAAACCACGACCTCCTGTAAGCCAGGCGAGGTAGTTAACATCTCGCCACCACGGCAGACAGGAGCATTCATTAAATCCGGTACTCTAAAGGCCAATCAGTGTTAATTGGCAGTGCAACTATAGGGGGATTAATAGATAGCTCATGATTGGAAGATTTCAGGTGCAGTGCTGGTTGTCATTAGACTTGAGCCATCATCCCTTTGTGATCAATAAAATGAGTGCCTTTTCATGGGTGGGGGAATGCTGCTATCGTGGAATGTGTGAGCCACACAGGAAATGCAGCTGAAACAATGGTGTAAGTTTTTTCAATCACCCCACATCTGCCTCCCCCCCCAACAGTCTAACTGAGATCACCACAGTTTGTCGATCAGCAGGTCACCTATGGGTGGGGTAAAGTGTGGGTAGTCCCACCTCATCCAAGACGTTTGGCAAGCGCGGAAGAATCGACCAAATAGTCTCTGGAGGAGCTCTCTAGCTTCCTTAAGTGAAAACCCTTTAGCCAGTGGTCAATCAGTGAAGTGGCTTTACCCCTCATGTGGAAATGTGGAGTTTCCATCCTCGGCATTTCAGAGCTGGCAAGGCAGCTGGGCACTCTCTCACTGCTCTTTTGGCAAGAGAGACACTGAGTGGGAGTAATTGGTGGACTGCTCCCGTACCTCCGGTTAGCACGGTTGGCTATGTACGTTGCAAAAGAAGTGCAACGCGCCTATATAGATAACAGGCAGCAAAGTCGCACGGTTTGATACGATGTAATTTAAGATATAATTACTGTTTATACGTGAAACTCAAAGTACAACTGCACCTCAAAATACTGTTCAAAATTGATTTGACATGCACATTGTATACAGTGTATGTATGTATATAACAGGGAAGAGATGGTCATAGGGGTAAGGTGTTGTGCCTGGACTTGAACACGTATGGAGGGAGCGAGTTCCATATTGTAGGGGCAGCAGAGGAGAAGGAGCGACCCCCCCACCCAAAATGAGTGGAGATTTGGGGTTTCGTCAGGCGTTTTGCTGCTTGATTGGAGAGCATATGAAGGGGGAGCCGCGGTCGAAGTTTCGTGCGTGGAGGGGAGTAGAGTGAGATGAGAGTGGAGATGTAAGAGGGCACGTGGAGGTGAGTGGAGGGAGATGAGAGGGGAGCGGTATGGGGGGACGGGATCATGGAAAATCTTATTGAGGGCATCCTTGAAGCTGATGCGAGATTGGATCGGGAGCCAACACAGACATGGAGTATTTTAGGTTATATGCCACCATGTATTGATGGGCCCTGGTTAAGTCAAGACCAGTGCAAGCGTCTTGTTTGAACTATGTTTTTGTTTAATTGACAAAACAAATTACCTGCAATTTCCACGGATGGATTGAATGTTATCTACCTACTCGTGTATAGTACTTAATGTTATTTACTTTGAATGAAACCTCACCCACGTTTTCCCCTCCCCTCCATCACGCTCTATGCACGCTCCAGGTAAAACTGTGAATATCACCTTGACGACAGTTACATCCCCATGGTTTTAAGGGAGTGGCGATGTGCTTCAGTCATCGGACGTGGCCTGATTATGGTATCTCGGTTGCATTTCCCGTACAGCTCTTGCCCATCAGAGCCATTCAACATTCACGGGAATAAACATTGTCACATGTTCTGCTTGGTTGATTTAAAAAAATAACTATTTAAATGTCACGATTTGCTTCCATGTGATGTATCGGGTCTGCAGTTAACTTGCTTTGTTTGAATAAGTGTGGTTTATTCTCATGAGAGTTATTTGGAAAATTGCTGTGACACGTCGAAATGCACGCGGTTTGTCATTCCAAAAACAACAAGAAACGTACCCTATTCACGAATAGAATAAACACGTTCAGGTCCATTATCATTTTTCACATGCATGTAGGACGCCGAGTATGTTTTAAGTTAAATTAAGCTACACATGATGTAGTCCATGCAATTTACACACATAAAAAATGGTAAACATTGGAAAAAAACAATGTTATACAAATACGTGCCATGTAAAATAAAAAAAAGAATTCTCTTTTGCAAAACAGTAAATTACTAAAATTGTATGATTCAATGTTTAATGCAATCAGCTGGGTCTTATTTTACATGTAATAATTGGCTACCACAAGTATTGCCCTAGTTCACATGTACAGTATATTGTCAATATATATTAAAAAATCATCTAAGGTACTCTCAGAATATATTTTTACAAAACATTCATTTTTTAAAATCACAATTACTTATTCCACGAGCCACACTTATTCTTCTTTGGCAACGGATTTCTAGAAATGTCCAGATGTTGTCTTGTCTCTGTTTCTGCTAGCAATATGAACCCTCATGCCCAATTACATCTTAAACATCCTTGCACATTGATAAATGTCTTCACAACAAGTTACGTTTGTGGACAATCTAATGTTACTGTGTACTTGGCACCCGATAAAATACAATACACATAAGTACGGCGAAGATTGCTGCAAACAAAATACAATAATTGGCGATATAAACGCGCAGAAAAACATATAGACACACGTGCGAAATGCATCTTTCTCGCGGTCGATTTGTTCACACCTTCCAACGGACACAGCACTCTCAAGGTACCGACTTTCGACGCGTAGATGGGAATCTTAGCAGCGTCAAACTCCGAATAAGTCGAAACATCACTCCCGTATTTTGGAAAACAGACCTCTTTGGGTAAAGCGTTGATAGCTGAAACACGCGATGGATGAAGCTGCGTTGGGCAAGGTTTTTCTGTACAATAAAAAAAACAGAATAAGCTAATTCTCATATAACTGTACGTATATCTCCTGCCTATATCTGTTATGTCATCTGACAATCATTTTGTAAATTCAGTGGTGGTTTCCAAAATCAAATATCTGCTTAGGGGGATTGCACAAATACGTTGATGAATTGTGCAGTTCGATATGAATATCTTACCACTCTCACACACCGATGTGGATTAATTCGAGATTAAAAGGGCATATACTGAGCTCATTATTAATTGGTTTCATGCGAATGCGGCGATGCGAAATTATTGGTAAATCAGACGACACGGTTTTTCTGACGTGCTGGTTTTTTTTTATTTCCTAAAGAACCTTGACGCAGCTTGAAGTAAAACGTCGCATCTAATCTTGGTTACGAATATTCGTCTTGAGCACAGCGGTGAGTAAGTAATAACATTTGTAATTATTGTGCACTCTTATGAGTCCAGTCCGTCACACGTTGAAGTAGGTTCTCTGAAACAACAACAACAACAATAACAACAACAAACACTGTTTTAGAGTCTGTTGCGAAACTGGCTCAGACTCAAGGATGGATGCCGAACATGAACTGGTAGCGTGTTCCAGGTCTTTGAGCTGGAGACCCCGAAGCTGCGCCACCGCATCGCGCGATGTTTACCCGTGGGTGCAGCAGCAGGTCGCCGCCAGCCACGGAACGTAGCCGGAATCGATTTTTGGTACTGTTGAAGCTGGCATGCACTGAACGGTGAGATACGACGGAGCAGATAGATGGAGACTCGTGAAGACTAGTAGGCATACTTTTTACGCAATTCTTTATTTAATAGGTTAGCCAGTGCAGCTCATCACGATTCAAACTCGTGATCGGATTATATTTATGTTTCCTAACTATCAGACGAGCTGCAGAATTTAACACCGGCGGTGACCTGAAGGACAATAATAATTGGCACGTTGTCAAATGCCCGAATGCGTGGCAATAGAATGTGTGCTTAGGCTTTGTCGGGTGGTGGAGGGTGTCACGGCAAAAACAACAACAAAAATTGCACAAACCATTAAGTGGCCAGACCCAAATATCAATTATAAATGGTAAAATTGGCTTGCGGACACCTAAGTGGTTATGAATTTGCTTTAAATTATCATGATGCGCATCATCACTAAATCTCAACACTTTATCTCTCATCACTTTATCTCTCGTCACTTTATCTCTCACCACTTTATCTCTCTCATCACTTTATCTCTCGTCACTTTATTTCTCGTCACTTTATCGCTCGTCACTTTATATCTCATCAATTGATCTCCCTCATCACTTTATCGCTCATCACTTTATCTCTCATCAATTTATCTCTCGTCACTTTATCACTCATCAATTTATCTCTCTCATCGCTTTATCTCTCATCACTTTATCTCTCAGCACTTTATCTCTCAGCACTTTATCTCTCAGCACTTTATCTCTCGTCACTTTCTCACTCATCAATTTATCTTTCTCATCATTATATCTCTCATCACTTTATCTCTCATCACTTTATCTCTCAGCACTTTATCTCTCGTCACTTTATCTCTCGTCACTTTATCTCTCGTCACTTTATTTCTCGTCACTTTATCTCTCGTCACTTTATCTCTCGTCACTTCATCTCTCGTCACTTTCTTTCTCTCGCTCTCTCTCTCTCTCGATGCAGCCGTGTCGAGTACCAGATGCGATTCGCGAATATCCAAAATCGCGGATAGCAAGTTAGTAAATAACGGGGGAATATTGTGCGTCGTTCATTTCCATTCGGGGTCCCGTTCCTGCACACGGCCCCTGCCGTCCCACTTGTTCATGCGGTGCACCTTGTTGTCGTAGTACACACATCTTGCTGATACGAGTCGGAACTCCATCCTCACTCATGTGCAAGTTGCCTGGCTTGGTTGGGAAGTAGTAGAGACCTCATGGACTAATTTCTTTGCTGTGATAACTTTGCTGTTGTTTGTTTATATTCTTAGCTCTTTCGGTAAAAGTCACTTTGAAGGGAAACAATAAAATAATAAAATATATTTATAAACAATACAATTCTCACGACGTTTCGACCATAACACAAACGGTCATCATCAGGTGTGAAAAACCAACGGCAATAAACATTTGAAAGAAGTGGCGGTTTGCATTTATTTATTTATTTTTTATTTTTAAACGGTGTTTGTATTTATTTATTTATGTTGTTTGTTTGTGCTTTTGATCTTGGTGCCATTTCTTCATATGTTCATTAATTTTAGATTTTGCTTTGGAAGTAGTACGGTTTTCATTTGCTTCGAAGTAGCTGTATATGGGATTTGGCCATTTATATAATTAATGCACAGCATTATGAGATGCCATTAGCATGAATTATGCAATATTAAATGAAAGTAGTATTATTACACTAGTTCTTGGCTTCCTTAAGAGAGAATGTGGACTCGCTACACCGTTTTGTTGTTGTTGCTATTTTATTATTGTTCAACCACAGAAACAATTGCACAAACTATTGAACACACAGATGAGATTTTTAATAAACATACATTTTTATCCCTGATATAGAAGCAATATTCCTAATGTGCATGCGGTACCCACACGTGTGCTTATACGGTAGATTATATGTGTTACGTCTCCTTCGCAAAATTCACAATTACTTGCGCATAGCTAGTGCGTTACATTCGACTACAACTTACACATGTCCATGGATATCTGAAACTCGTCGGTTTTTACATAGCACTCGCAATAAGGCCTCTCTTAGCTCATCTGCCCTCAATCCATACACAATGGGACTCAAGCCCTGAGCGGCCCCGAAGACAATTGTCTTGAGTATTAACAGCTGCTCCACGGTACCCTCTGCAATGGTGAAATAGACCTTCTCCACATAGTACAGAAATATCGGTAGGACGTAAAAGGACACCTGCAGGGAGTGGAACATCACCGTGTAGCGGGCACGCTTGCTCGCGACACGAATGCTCCCGTTACGCTTCCCTTCGCGGGAGATGAGGCAGTAGCACACGGACAGGACCACGATGGATATCAGGATCGGCAAGACGTTCAAGAAGTTCACGATGCTCCTGACGATGGGTGACTTCGCGTTGAGGGAGTCAATCGAGCAGTACGCGAACTGACCAGGTGGATCTTCCTCGCTGATCATCGGCGTGGCCAGGCGAAAGACAAGTTGCAAGAGCGACGAGAGGGAAGCCATCAAGACGACGATGGCGACTACCTTCAGGAACCTCTCAATGGAGCATATCTCGTTGTACCTGAGCACCCAGCAGATCGCCACGTACTTATCGACCGACATCGCCGCGATGCTGTAGAGTTCGCTGAAGGAGGATAGGGAGAGGAATGTGAAGTACACCGTGCACATGAGCCGGGATAGCTGGATTTGGTGGAGCTCCAAGAGGTAAAATAAACATTGCATCGTGTTAAACATGACCTGGCTCAGGAGGAGGGTGACGAGCAGAACGAACCGGAGCTTCTCCCTCAGCGAGTAGTTCCTCAGCATGAGGTACAAGACCAGGAACGTGAAGGAGAGCGACAGGAGCAGCATGGCGGAGAACATGGCCATCTTTTTGAGATTTGATGACTGGATGCTCGTCACGTGGGACGCGTTCGTAAGCAGGTCGTATCTTGAAGAGGTATTCACCTCCATCAGGGGACCAAGAAGGCGATGAAACGATGACGAGAGTGTCTTGATTACTCTTGGCTAGTTCGGCATTCTATTGGCAGCTTCAATGATTTTCTACACACGGAGAACCAAGTTCTGCAATGCAAAGATGCTTTACATTAAATACAACAAAATAACATTCAATTTATATGATGGAGCGCCTTTCAGGATACATGCCCAACGAAGTATTGTTGTCAACAATCCAACCACAATACTGTATTTGCAGCAGTAACTCAAAATTGCAACTCAGATCAAATCAACAGATACCAAAACATCTTATTGCTCATGAATGCAATGCTAACAACAGCATTGTTTTAATATTGTTGAAATTGAGTAATGATAGGATTGTATCAGCATCAGGGGAGGAGAGATGGAATCTGGGATTGGCCATTATGAGATGTAAAAAAAAACAAATATGAAAATTAAGAATAGGTCGTTATTAACAATACTTAAAAACTATATATATATTTTACTCCAACTTTTGAAAAATTCTACTTGTGACAATGATGTTTGCAACACAATATAATTACCTGTTTTTTTTTCACTTAAACTTTAAGGAAGTTTGTTGCATCCATTATTAATACTATCTGCAAGACAATAGGACAGAACAGCTAAGTCAGAACCAGATCAAATGAAACGAAAATATACAACTGTGCCATCATTATGGAAATAAAAATTCACTTCATTCTGTAAAAAAAAACTCAACACATCCTTCAAAAACTCTGGCCTTACAATAAAAAAACTATACAACAGGCAACGTTTTGGGGAAACGACCCTGCTCTCCAAAAAGAGCCTTTTAAAAAAAAAACATCAGCTTTTTACATATTGATTTGCCTTTCAAGGTCCATGGTGTTATTGACGAACGCGTTGAGTTTGTTTGCTATGTGTACTTGTGCACAACTGCAAACGCACTCTCGGCAAATAATTAGCTTAACTCCAAAACGTCGACCGATATCACCCAACGGCAGCACATCGATACAAAATAGTAAGGGGCCTCATACGGATTCCAAAGGGACACCACAAATATGTGAACATCAAAGATGTCGTGGCCAAAGCCGTTGGTGCCACCTCACCTCGCCAGTGCTTTGCACCCTCTGCAAGACACCGCAATTGCTGCCCGGTGCCAACGCCACCTCCCAGATCTGTCCTCACGGTATCACACCAGCTGGTCTTAATGTCTTACCGTTGCGCCACTCGGCAAACCGACCCATGCCAATCCCGCACCCTTGTCCCGCCCAGTGCGACATTTGTTTTTCTTATTCCAATAATCATACCTACAACCCTTGCCTACCACGTTATCTTCCGGACTTGTGTATTGCTCAGAGCTGTCGTATATCTGAGATGGGAAGTTAGCCGATAGACGGCAGCTATTTAAGGGTCAAAAAGTGACGTAAAAGAGTGAACAGAAATCAATGGGACCCTTAGAAGCGAGGATATGTGTACTCTGTAAGACGTATTTAAAGCATTGATGGGAAAATATAAAGGCACGCCACACAATGGTTTGTATATAGAGAGAACAAAAATGATTTGCCAGGTCAGATTTATGTAGTGTGCTAATAAATGTATCATTCATTATGAAATTATTATACTGCAGTTGGAACTGCTTGGTTGAAATGTTGTAAATATAATTCCGATAGATTTTTACTTTATTTAAAACAAAGCTTGAGTGATCTTCAACATCACACGTGATGTGAAAAGTTAACCAGTTTTACTTTGTTGAAAATATATGTTTTTTTTTTCAGTAAACCTCATCCAATTTGCATTTTTGACATTTGAAGCTTAACGAAAATGTATCTGATCAGTATGTGCTGTCTATGCGCACACGTAATCTGCAGGCAAGTGCACGGGCACATTTGCTGGTACAAGAACTTTGTTTTCATATCCATTCACTGATTAAACATGGACAGTTTTGCTTTGTCTCTGTGTGAGTTTTGCATCCTGGGTGCCGTATGTGTGTGTGTGTATGCGTGCTGTTGTGTGTGGGGCTGTTGGTAGCAGTTCTTAGCTTGATCTGGTGTGGTGTGTAAACATCAACACATGGTAAACTAAGGTGTACAACTGTGGCGCTGGTCATGCCGCTTCTAATTGTGGAATTCCAGTTCTATTTTAATTTTTTCCCTAGTTTTGGGCCCAATTGTACTGTCAGCATCTTTTCATGAGATGGAGTATCAACATGCTTAATAAATAAGACAAGTGACAAATATGAATATATTATAATAATCCCACGAAGTGTTCTGAGTATAAGAACAGTAATGAATATATTACTTTACAAATGTGCTAGTATTATTGTATCTGTGAGTAAATGTATTGCTTACAGACATACGAGGTTTAGACGTTTCAATTATGTAACCTATGTCAGTGTGATTTTGGGGAAAATAAATGAATATTGCACAGTGAATGGAGCATGTCCCTCGCACTGATGTTCAATCATTTTTATTCCAGATTTTACCAATAGGTGGAAGATGTTTCGCGCGACTGAAGAGAGCGGCGTTCTTGCATAACTACATATTAGAAGAGGAGCAAACTGATCTTACACGTGTGTCCTCTCAGGATATCAACACACGTGAAGTTTATTAAAGAAGGAAGTTATAATATGGTGACAACTATTAATTGGGGCAACGTTTACATATGGCTACAATGGCAGCAATGAGAACGGGAGTGCGAGTGACAATTACAGAATTGGTAGGCCAGTTAACACTTCAACGCCAGTACAAATTGCGGGGTTGAATTTGGATTTCAGATTACAAATGTATAGGAATTAAACACATTCAGTATCACCAGTCATGGGGATATGATCTAGAACAGGGTGTTCAATGACCCATGACTGTCCATAGGAAGCAGAGACACTGACCAATGTGACCAAAATTCCTCTGACAGCGGACACGAAACATTTAACAAAGAGCCCAAAAAAATCTAGAATTGTATCCCCAGTACTCAATATTACTGAACGTCAGTGACGTGCGGTGAGGTCAATGGCTGGGGAGGCACTGGCTAGTGTCAGAGCCAGATTCACACACTGAGGGGGGCGTGGCCTCACAGAGCGGGGCGTGGCCTCGATGAAGCAGATGTGATAGCTGCCTCCCCTGGTGCTTTTTCATTGCAGTTTAATGACGAGAACAGCGAGCCTAAATATCTTTATACACGTATGTGAAATAAGTTACCTGGATTATGGAAGACGAGGACATGAAATGAAGGGGTTTACAAACATTACATTGGTGACGTACTGAGATAGTAACAGGCACGCGCTTATTGCCTGCGCTCCATCCAGTTACTGAGGGGTTGCGCAATCAGAGGGGAGGCTGAGCTCGTCGCTGCCTCACCTCTCGTCTCTTCCTGCAGTATTTGCAGCGGAGCTCCGCAAAATTGGCTATTTTGACAAAAAAAATGATTGGAATAGTACAGAAATAACATTTATAACACAGATCAGTGGTAAAAATCTTAATATTTATTTGATTATTCTTTTTTTTTACTTTTCGAAACAGCTATTTTCATTGGAGTATGACAGGTGATGGTCTGCCTCCCGTGCCTCCCCTGACCGCACGTCCCTGCTGAACATTACATTGCTCAAGTACACGCGGGTTTCTTAACGATCTTGTATTTCCACCGATGCACTGTTTTGTCTGTGCCTTGTTACTGTACAATTATGCAAACAATTGTCCGTTTATATTAATATAGATATATGGTAAATTGACAGCAAGTATACACACACACATTGCATACAGACCACCACACAGTTAGAATTGTATGCATTAACCAATACTTTAATATAAATGTATTACAAATACACAATGAAAACATATTCCAAAAGACGCTGCATGAAGCCACTCAACCACTTAATCATTCCTATTGACACATATAAATGCTAATAAAAAAGATAGGACAGTATATCATGCTTGTTATTAGCAAACATGAAAGTGTATGATATGAGACCACATATCAATCTTTGAGACACTTAAAATTCAAATTAAGTGAATCCCTAAATTCTTCCATAAGTCCCACCGAAGTCCGTGCTCTCTGAACCTAAAGAATACATTTTTTCCAGATGTTGGAAAAGAGATTCAAAGAGGGAGCCACATCCATGATTTTCTGAAAATCCGTCGTGCAGTAAATCATATCCCTATAACTGCTGATACCTGCGGTTTGCACGGTTGGCTACGTACGGTGCGAAAGAAGTTCAACATACATACACACAAGCACGTCCGCTAGCATGGGAATATCTCCATCGCTCATTATATAGACCGTACTTCCCCACGCAGTTCATCTCGAACAGTGGTTCTTAACCTGGGTTCGATCGAACCCCAGGGGTTCGGTGAGTCGATCTCAGGGGTTCGGCAGAGCCCCCGCCACGGAGGTCCGGACACACTTGAATTATTGTGTAAATTTGTGATGACACACACGGCCCGCTTGGCCATCACTGGCTGCAGATGATCATGCTACACTACTTGGCCAATCAGCGCTGCGGGGAATTTAGTGCGTACTCAGTAGTCAACGTGTGACTGTTGTTGTCGTACGTCGTGTGATTTCTTTAATATTTTATCCATACTAACTATGTCGGGCAAAAGAAGAAAGTGGTCGGACGAATATGTACAACATGGATTCTCATGTATCACGGAACGTGATGGGAGTGAGCGTCCTATCTGCATGATTTGCAACGCCAAGTTGAGCAACTCTAGTCTTGCACCGGCAAAACTAAAGGAACACTTCTTGAAGCTGCATGGAGACGGGGAATACAAGAACACAACACTTGCTGAATTCAGGGTGAAGAGAGCCAGATTCGATGAAAGGGCCACTCTGCCTGCTCTTGGATTTGTACCTGTTAACAAACCGATCCTGACAGCATCGTACGAAGTTGCTTACCTGATCGCAAAGCAGGGCAAGCCACACACCATTGGTGAAACACTTGTGAAACCAGCTGCATTAAAGATGGCGAATCCTGATACTCGGAACAGCGGCCGAAGGTAAATTATCCCAAATTCCCCTTTCAA